CAGGAGTTTTAGCTTGGGATTCCCAAGTTGCGTTGTATTTGACTCATTGATCTCTGAGTTAATTTTTTTTATTTAAAGTAGCCAAATGTGCCTACTCTTGGCCCAAATCCATCAAAATAGTTACTATACACTCAGTTTTGCTGAAGTCAATTGCTATAAATGTGTGCATCAGCATATTGCTAGACAAAGACCATAAGTTACCCGTCTAAGCATTAAAAACACAAGAAAAGCTGAATTGTTCTTTCTTTATGTGAACAGACATCTGCCTACACACACAGTTGCATCTCCACTGAATGGTACACACGGTGCAGTCTGGCTTCTGACCAGGATGCACCTACAGTGCCACTGCAATTCTCCAGGGCCAAACACAAGAGAAAAATGCTCAGCACAGGGAGATACGGAATTTCAGGAAAGAACTGAGCATCGTGTCCCAGTGAGGGGTGTGCCCCCCTAGTCAGTGAGCAACCTTGCACTCCACTGCAGTCCCCCTCATCACAGTAGTCTTTCTACAAGTCCAACTGCTGGCATGCACAGAGGTTTCTTGACCCTCTGTTTTATTTTAGATTAATCCAAAATGACTACACACATTAGCTGAAATGCATTACAAATTTGGAGTTAAATGGAAAGAAAATTAAATATAGAAACCAGTCCATTTTATCCTGTAAGATATACTCTGTTTAGTAACATTCTTGAAAATTGATACGTATTAAATTAACCACAGGAGGGCTCCCTCTGGTATACCGAATACAACAGCAGCATACTGTTTATTGCCAAAAATAATATTGTATCTTAAAAGTAACAAAGATTTTAGACCTCAAATTATATTTTCCTCAATAGGCTCCAATATATACAGGGGAATAAAATTATATTTGAACAATTTAGATAAAGAGGTGAATTACAGAAGTGTTAACTGTATGGCTTAAACACCTAAAAGGCAAACTGACAATGCCAATGCACTGCATTTTAAGACACTGTTTTGTCATGCCACGTATAGGGGCTCTGGGAGCTGATACATCAGCACAGCAATGAAGAGGGCTGTAGTATAAAAGAGCATTGAAAACACCAGGTCCCAGCTGCTGCTCTGGGGAGAGAAATGAGGACTTGCTTAGAACAACAGCACATGCATAGAAACTGAGCAGAGAAAGTGAGGCTTCATATTATCAGTATTTCTTATGGTCTGACAGGTACTCTCCAAAAATAGTACAAAAGAATGTTAGCAACAGTCAAGCAGCTACTTTTGTAAAGTTGAGACTGTTTGTCATTCTATACTTTATTTTCTCCTCTGCTAAAGAGAAACCAAACTCCCACCTCCTAAGTTTGCAGTGAAAGCAAAGGTGAGACAGTGGAACTAAATACATAAGTAACTGACAGCGTCCTGACAGTGTAATAAGAGAAAATAGGTGTGTATTTGTATCCTAAACCAAATGATAATTTGTACAACATTTTGCAGCTGTTGAAATCAACTGGAAAATAAGAGAAATACAGCTAAGTGGGGGGGGGGAGGAAGGGGGGAAGAAAATTTTTCTCTCAAGATACAGCTTTTATGCAGCTCCAGAAAGAGAATTCACCAACCCAAACTTTGTACTTCACTGGAATCAATAGTAAGTTAACAGAGTTAACTGTCCTGGAAAATTTATGATTACCAGAACTTGTGTGCTAAACATTAGGAAACATTGCACTTTGGGGTAAATTTAAATTTTCACCTCTTTCACAGACTTCAGAAACTAATGACTGTTTGCGAGACAGATTTCAGGCCGAAACCGCTTGCTGCACCATGTAACTCAGAACCTAACATATGTACCTTTACTCTTGAAGCTCCACTTTAAATAGTGTGAGAAACCAAAAGTAAATAACAATTATCAAAATATAAAGATCAAGTCTATTAAGTTCTCAAGAGAAAAACCTACGAAATCACAAAGGCTTATAGAACGTTTCTGTGAAACAGAGATTCATAGAGACTAATAATGTTTACAGAATTCATGTAAAGTGAACAAAATCGTTAATGTTGTCTGAAATCACAGTTGTCAATACCATTTTCTCGTCTTTTAGTTTTTCCTACAGAAGAGCTTCTCTGCTCAGAAACAGAATTTGCACAGTGACAAAAAATACTCTTATGTAACTTACCGTAGGACTATTTTAATGCATAAAAAAGTCAACTTATTTTGTCATATTAGAATTTCTAGATAGCACTAAAGAACACAAGTACCTCTTCTAGGCACTGGGAATGACACAGTCCCCAGGGGACACTGTTCTACCATTGATAGAAACAGCCTATTTTTGCATTGTGGACTGCTTTCAAACAGCTCCTATGCTTACTGCTGTCAGGGTATCAATGCCTCCTCCATCAGCCTGCTATCCCTCCTTTGCTCTGGTGCTGTAGCAAGCAGCTG